TTTTACGCATTCAGTCGACGTATGTTCCATTCTGCTGCCACTTTGTCATAGTAACGAAGTCGCCATCCGACCAGTAAGCGGTCGCTATTTCCATGGCAACTATTCAAATGAGCTCCATTCTTTACGCCCAACAGTTCAAACATTTACAAGTAAGATACGCCACGCCATTTCCACGGACTCGTATCACCCTCATTTCTTCCATATTCCAACCGTAAGAATAAAGTTTCACTTTGTTTTCCCAAGTACTTCAACTTTGTGAAACAAACTCTCGCGTGAATCCTTACCCAAATACTACAAAATTAACCGCTTCAAGGATCGTTTAATTCCTTCTTATCTTTATAATATTTCCTTCCTAACACTTCAAATCACACAATTCATTCATCAAAAGGATATTAATAATAATCCTCTACATTGAGTGGCTCTTGAGCATAGCATCGCGGTAACTTTAGAATTAAAAAAAAAAGAATTCGACGGTCACGGAAAGTTGGTAATATGTCGAAGGTGATGGAATTTTGTCAGGTTCAGATTCAAATTTGACCGTCTCTTTTTATCGATAGAAATTGTGCCTGCCATCATTCTGATGGTGGGTAGTCGATCGGTTGAAACGATTTGTTCGATTTCTTCTTCACCATTCTCGGCGGGCTTACACAACGCTCATTATTTTCGACATCTTCTCAATATTTACAAAAATCGCTTCTGCTGCACACGTATTGCACATGCGACCTGCAATTCGGACTGCATAAAACTCATTCTCATTCTATAATACTTACACCTATATAATATAGATAATATCTCTTTATGCACATATGCACACATTCATGTGTATATATATATATATATATATATATATAAATAATAATAATCTATTAAACAATAGACATGAGTTAACGGTTTTTTGTCGACATCATCAAATCTATGGTTTGAATGATTAGCTAAAAACAAGCATACAATATAATAACTTTTATAATCCACAGCCAAAATAAATAATTTAATACCCTACAAAAAGATAACCCTTTATGAAGTCGTCAAAAAACAAAAGTTACGGCAGTTTTTATATGCACAAATCCCTTTCATAAAGAAATAAATAAAAAAATAAATAAATCTCCATAGACACGTAAGCCAGACGAGGCTAAAACAACTTCCGTTTCAAATTTAGACACCCCCACCTTACCCTGATTTGACATCTATGAAAGTAACTCTATAATGATACTTATTATTAACACCCAACACACGCCTACCCAATTTAAACAATTCGCCCTAGCTGTTACCATGGAAATTTTGATTTCAATTATTAAAACATGTAAATTTCTGAAATAAGTTATTCAAAAAAATATTCGCTTGAAGATGGAACAGAGCTTTCTTTCTTTAACTCATTTTAATTCAAATAATTATATTGAAGTTTTCGGCTCTTGTTTTGAAACATGAGACCTCTTATGTCGCGAGTTGGAATCATATTTTTAAATAAATAATTATATATATATATATATATATCAGTAGTCAATAAATATAAATAATATATAATATAAATGGTTCAAACACAAATATTCCATGGTTATAATATGTGTGTGTGTGTGTGTGTGTGTGTGTGTGTGTAATATATTACAACCATGGAATATTAGTGTTTGAACCATTGTGGTGTATATATATTCCATGTGAGTTCATGGTAAACATTAATGATGAAAGTATTCTACCCTCTGCTCCACAGTCCCATCCCAAAAGAGGCAAAGACGAATCACAATGCCCCTCCATAGTAAACCAAAGAGACAAGTGGAGGGAATTAAATTGAAGGTCAAAAGCCTTAGCCACATCAGTGGAATTGATGACAGAAAAAAAAGGATCATCCACGTCGCGATAATAAGCGTAGGTCTTGTGGTATTTTTCAAAGAGGTTTTCATAAAAACCCACAAAAATATTAGCCAAAACGGGAACCAAGAGACAGTCTATCGAGACCCCGCATATATAATGTCATTAAAACTGACATCCGTCCCTCAGTAGCTAAATAGATGAATTCCATAAATAAACTCTCAGAAATACTGGGAGAAACCAGATGACCTCTATAAAGGGCATCCGTACATATCTGTAAGGTATCCAAAAGAGCTGCATTCGTAAACAAACTATTTCAAAGGACATCATAACTTTGTTAGAGAAGCGGAACTAATAAGATACACAGAAGAATATAGGTCTGAGTAACTCTCTTCGTGGCAGGTTAGATTGGCAGATTTGTTTTGCAAATAGTCTTCCCTTCCCGTTGATCATGATTTTCTTGCTTGACGACGGATTGTAATCGTATTTTTCGTTTTTGTCATAAGTTATTTTCGATTAAATCCCCAAAACATTTTCTGCAATTTTGTCTATAGAACAATGTTGCCTCATCCTTTATCCAGCGTAGATTGCTTAAAATTAAGATAAGTCGTATTTTGTCTATCGTGCAGGCTTTTATTAAGCATGCGTTTGTAAAACCATCCAGTTCTTATGACTCTTGTTTAGATCATTATCGTCCCTTGCTGGCCAACATTCGGGATTCTCTTTTTTTTTATTTCTTTCAGTTCTCACGCTACCTTTCTACGATTCGGTTGCGTTTTGAGGAGCATGTCAATCTGAAGAATAAAAATAATAACCTCATCTTTAAACAATTTGGTATAGAAAATGGGAACATAGACAAGGATTTTTTTCAATTTCTCGAATGTCCCACTTGCTGAGATGCAACGTTCTCTTCTTGCCAGAGAGTTGGTGTTATATATTTCCTCGGTTAAAATTATTAAAGAAAGGGTCTTTACAGATGTTATTCTCTCAGTTGAATCTACATACTCCAAATTGCTTTGAAAATCTCTCTTTGTGCCAGATTAGATTGGCAGATTTGTCTTTTGAATATTCTTCCCTTCCCGTTGATCATGATTTTCTTGCTTTTCGAAGGATCCACTTCCAGACGATTAAGTCTTTAAAATTCAGAAATGACATCTATATTACGAAACTTGGTAAAGAGGCTGGAGTGGTTAAATTAGGGCGGCAGGACTATATTAATAAAATGGAGATCATGTTGAATGATCTGACAAAATTTCGTAAAATTGGTCCCGTTAATTTGCGTGACAGTAGAATTGAGATTAAAGTGTAAAAGCATCTGTTTTCTATTTATAATAGCGGACTTCTCACCAAAATGGTGTATAATTGTATTAGACCCACTGGATCTCAGCGTTCTTGAATTTATGGTTTATATGGAAAGCATTCCTCTCAGACACATCTTGTTAATGGTGGGTTCACTATCCAGCATGAAATGGCTTCTTTAGAGAGAAGTCAATAGCCATCTCCAATTCTTTGGAGAGAAGCCAATGGCCCTGAAGAGTGAAGGCATTTCTACAATGCGCTCAAGAAACTTCGAAGTCGGCATGACTGAAATAAAACCACTCAGTTCAATGACAAGTTTCTCCACATTAATTCTATTAACACTCTATTCTTACCTTTTGATATCGAGCACTTTATGACAAATACTTGCCTGCCTAAAATGCATTTCCACCTGTAAACTACGGAAAAATTGCCAGTAATTTTGGCACCTAAAAACTATTACAATTTTAATACATAGGTGTGTGTCTGTTTTTAAGGATTGTGCATTTTACAAAAGAAAAGAGATTGAAATCTCAAGTAGTATCAACTGACAATCGTCAATTAACAGCGTATATATCCCACTAAAAAAAAAAGGTTGACGCTATATAATCTTGCCAATTTAATTAGAGACCCGGACTATGTTCCAAATTCTGTAAATAAAATACAAGAAAAAGTAAACGACTTCCCCTCACAAACACACCGAGACCATGAAATTCCACACCCTAGTTGAGAACCCCAGTACTACATGGTTGCATGCTGACAAAAATTCACTAACGTATGAAAGACATGGAAACTTGTGAGCATTCACATTTTTACCTTTACAACTGCCAGATCAAAACAAAAAAATGGATTAACGCTGTCACATCTACACAGGAGTTCCCTAATACTCACTATCCAACACTGACCGATTTTAAAAGCGTTTGCAGTCCTGGGTATGACGATAAACTACATTCGGCTTCAAAGTCTCTGATCAGAAGATTGGAGGCTTTGAGGAACTTGGAACCACCGCTTAATTGCTGTTGTTCCGAGGTACACCCTGACCCTGGGTGGTAGCAACTTTTAGGGTCCCAAATATTGAACACCCCAAACATAACACTATGAAAGTATAAAAATATATTCTTATAGTAAAGGTGCCAGCAAGACATTTTTATATAAAATAATGACCAACATACATATTTATAGTAAAATGTTCAACGTTACATTTTTATAGCAAAATAGTCACAAATACATTTTCTTTGTAGTTGTAGTCATAAAATTGTGTTCTAAATATTTACATTTCGACATTAAATAACCCATAGAGGTGTTGATATACCGCTAAACAAAATCAACCAGACAAATAACATGAAATAACTCTTTCATGATATAAATCTATATAACAACCTACATTTTCTTAAAGAAATCGAACTGTATACTAAAATATAACTTCAACAAAACTACAACATAAAGACACATATGGCCTCTAATAATTATGTCCACACAAACACGTATATGCACAAAATCTGAGTATTATCTACCATGTATTCAATTGTGAAAGCAAAATAACACATATTTTTTTTCTTCAAAGTCCCAAGAAAATTAAATTTCGGCATTAAATGACCCGTGGAGGAGTTGATATGCCCTTAAACAAACATATCAATCATAAAAAAGTTTTCACGGTGTTGTGGGTGATGAATTGTTTTCCAGCCAACCACCACTTTCCCCACAGATAAAACATCGGTCGCCTATTTCTAGTCTACTTCTATTTTCATGGCACATGTTAAGGTGAACTATATTTTTTGGTTCCCCGCAGTACATACCTTCTAGGACCCGCTAGTCAACGTACACTGTCGGCTCAGCTTCATTCCCTTCGTCTTCCATTCATAAGGAGGAAGTTCCACTCGAATAGCCTCTTCCTCAGACTTACGGTCAAATGATGCTGAAACACCTGTTCTCGTTTGACCACAGAAGTAAAGCCTTGTAGAGCCTGGTCATTACTTAGGTGGGAGACTGCTTGGGAATACCGGTCACCGTAAATGACCCCCTGCAATCCGAAATATGTTTCAGATTTAAATGACCCGTAAAGGGTTAATAATCCGTAAAAGTCCAATCAATCTTAACTTCTTTAAGCCTAGGGTCAATCATTGTCTATCCTACATATCATCATAATGTGAACTTCTTGCTTCCTCCTTGCACGCTTTTACAACAACTTTATTTAGTGGCCCTCTATTTTGAGTGGCTCTTGCGCCTTATGCTGCGTGAACAATAGTAAGGAAAAATGCCTGTATAACGACCCTGCTTAGAGCCATCAGACTTCTGGTTGCTCCCAAAATAGGAAGTGATATTGAAACGTGGACGTTTTTATCCGACGCCAAAATTGAAGTTGATATTCATCAATTGAATCAAAAATAAACACGAATCTTTCTTTATGGACGGAATTTAAAAGTGGAAAGAACTTTGAGTTGGCGGGGGTAAGGGTGGCTGAAACTGTGTCCCTGACTGTGTTTAAAAATTAAATAAATTGATAAATAAATTATGAAAAAAAAAAATTGATTTCATTTTCGTACCGCTAGCATTATTCTATTTGCTTTAAAATTTGTTTTTATAGAATTGGAGACACGGTAAATCAACCAACAGACATAGAATAAAATAAAGAAAAGAAGAAGAGTACAAACAGACATGCGCATACTTTTGATTTGCATATGTTAGGCTGAGATGTGTATATATATATATATATATATATATATATATATATATATATATATATATATATATATATATATATATATATACAGGGTGCGAGTGCTATTTGAGGACATTTTTAGTATGTTAAATAAACAGCAATATCTTAGCAAACAATGTATATATTTAATTCAAATTGACACAAACATCCTTCATGATACTTCTTTATCTAATTATTCTATGAAACCACATTTGGCTTCAATGACTGCTTCTATTCGGGCTCGAAACCTTGCACAAGCTGCAATTAAGTGGTCCCTATTCATTTTGGACATTACCTGGACAATTTCTCGGACATTCAAGTCGGTAAATATTGTTTAATACTGTTTATTATAAAACAGAGCATTTACTTAAATATTTGTATCTATAAAAAGAATGTATAAACATAAAAATGTCTTAAAATATTTATATATATTATATTATATATAGCATATATAATATCTTTATATATTGTGTATATTTAGGCAGCAATTTTCATTGATGCATGTTTCATTAAATAATATAGACAAGTTTTGTCTATTTTAAGTAAATTCCTTTCATATTGTCTGATAAGCTTAATCACATTATCATTGTAAGGAAATCGCCATATTGATACATGCTTAAATTCAATCTAAGCTTTCGGCTTACACAAGCCATTACCAAAGATGACAATTATATTATCAAACAATACACGGACGAAACAATAATGATAGTCTGTTTTTGTTGCATGAGAAATTTCAAAGCAACGACAAACTCGTGTATACGAGACGCAGATTTCATTACTGAGAATTTTTGCCGCTCACTTGGAGCAGTTTAAGTTTAAAATCGATACACCCGAAAATCAATATTAGTAACAACATTTGGGTGCAACTGAGGCACATCCCCAAATGTGGGGTTAAAAATTTAGGATGAGGGGGGATGGAAAGAACTGCATAATAATAAATAATAATAATGTAATAATTTAAACTATTTATTTTTATTAAAGTTTTTATGAAAGATATATATCCAAAAACAGATAGTAAACAGTAAAACGTTGCTGAGATTTATAATGGACAGGAAGTAGTGGAGAGCCATTGTCACCAACAAATTTGACTCAAAACTGGCACTAAAGAATTACCTATCAAAGAAAAAAATTTGATCAAAATCGGATGAAACCTTGAAATGCATAAACATGCGATCACATACACAAAAAACATACATATACACAAACGTTTTGAGAATTATATATATATATATATATATATATATATATATATATATATATATGTGTGTGTGTGTGTGTGTGTGCGGGGGAAGGGTGAAGAGTCAAACAGTTTAGAATTTTTAATTTAATTCTCTTCATGGTAAGATTTTGCTCAGAAAGATTGAGAACTTGATACTCGGCCGTGATGCCGGCGTCGAGCGATGAAAAATGGCTGCCCAGAAGAGTTTCCAAAGAAAAACAGACGATCATATTGCAGACAAACAACAAAACAAAATAAAAGATACGAATCAAAGACACCGTCAAAAGAGATCGTCTCAAATTGCAGGACAGAGAAAATCATTTCTGTTATTTTAATTCCTGCCTCCTTAGGGTAAGTATTATTTCTGCTGGAGCAACGATCGCCTTTCTTATCATGAACTTCTCAATCGATAAATAAAAAGTTTATGAAACAAATTTGTTTTGATTTCAAGCAAATTTTGATCAGATATTTCAGGAACAAGGGACTTTTAATTTAAATCATTTTGTTGTTCCTGGTATATGATACTCAGTCCTTTCTTAAGACGTTTGTCTGAAAAAGAAGTTTCAAATTCTAGAATTATCTTTCAGGAATTCTGAACATAAAATCGTCTTTCCTCTTCAATTATTTTTATTTGTGAAATAAAACAAATAGACATTACACGAATCGGTTGTTTGGTTTGGTTTGGTTTACGGCATATGAACCTCGATGTGTTATTTAATGCCGACAATATTTTTATTGCTGGTAATAAAAATGTATTTCTGGTAATATTTTTCCAAAAAGTATTGCTGGTAATAATGTATTGCTGGTAATAATTTTGTCTTCAAAAATTTATTGCTTGTAATATTTTTTACAAAAATGTATTGCTGGTATTAAAACCTATTTGTACACGTTTTAAACTCAGTTTAAGGGTTAAGTATTTGCCCATATGTTTGAAGCTAACATTTACTACCATCTCAGGTCAGGGTGGACCTGGGAACACCAGTAATTAAGAGGTGGTTCCACGCACCTCAAAACCTCCTGATCAGAGGTCTTGCTATTGGATGTAGTTTATCATCTTCCCCAGGACGCGGATGTAGTTTATCGTCATACTCGGGACGCCCGAATCGGTGGTCAGCTAACAAATGCTTTATCGTGGGCGGGGTAAAAATGTTTAAGGGTGATAGGTTGAGAGTTGAAATTGCTATCAATTTATACCAGACATCAAGGAAGCCTAGTGAAACAGGGAGACAGGGACCACCTGGGGTCAACCCCCACAACCGTGTGGACAACCACTCACACCTCTATCCGGCTTGCAGGGGTTGGAAAGATTTTTTTTAATATCCGTTGTTATCAAAGCAAGAGCTCCAGGCAGTCGAGAGCAGTGTCTCACACAACGTAGGCAGAAAATGCAAGGTCCACGTATCGGACTGGCAGAGAGTAAGTGACGGAATATTGGGATGAATAAAATGTTAACTTATAACGACTAAATTCTAATCGACAACCTTCACTTAATTATAATAGCACGCGTTAACACATGATCATATCAGCTAATATAAGGCTCAAGAGCCAACCAATAAAATATGAATGAAAATGTAGTTGGTAGGATGTGAATATTATGAGGATAATGTAAAGTTTATTATTGACATTATTCAGACTATTGTCCTCATCTTTGTCGCCATATTTATTACAACGTTTCGGCCGTTGTACGCTCCGGCCTTCTTCAGGTGGTTGGAATGTCGAACTTAACCCTTTATTTCGCTCACTGGGGTAGGGTTCAGTTCGACATTAAATACTATTAACTCAAACATTCTTACGTTCTCACAAAAAAGACCAAATTTTAAAAACGCACGCAGATCCAATGAAAATGATGAGTAATTTCATTTAATATGTTATCTTGTTGATACCCATGCGATACTTATATAAACGTACTCACGTGTGTGCTCATTGAATACAGTTCGTAGGAAGGAGCTATGATGTACAGACATATTCTATTACTGTATATCGTATTAAGACTTGTAACGAGAAATATTAATTTTTACAGACACGCAATTCTCTCATCTCTCTATTCCAAGATAAAAAATTAATCCATAGAACTACTACAATATTGGTTGTCTCATAATTATATGAGTCTTACTAAACTTGTTCTTTTAGTAAATGTACAACCTCAGTTATAGATACCGTTAATACAGTTGCTCTTGGAAATTTAAAGTTGAATACATTTGTTTTTTGTTGTTATTTAACAAATCCGAAGATCACTTTTATATGTGACTAACAGCCACACCCAGTTGGTCGATCAGAAAAAGTGTTCAATTAGAATGGAGCAAAAACAGCATCGTGTTTATATGTAACAGAGTCTACCTTCTTCAATTACTTTTAAGTACTTTAAAAACATTTTGAATTAATGCAATTACTGATATCACAGATGTAGTCTGTATTTATTCCATCGAAGTTAGCCGAGGACATGAAGGGGTAAAACAAGCAACAGGATACCCACTTCAGAGCACAATTATTTTGGAGTTTTTGAAATTCAATTTGTCAGTATGCTACGAGGGATGTAAAAGAGGATACATTTATAAAGCAATTATTAAGTTTGATGAAAATTTTTTGAAAGATCAACGAAAAATAAGAAAGAAACCAGTAAAAATTTTTCGCTATTTACGCGTGTTTTCATTATGAAATTAGACTCAATTATTAACTTAAATGACTGTTAAACAACTTATTGTTGGCTACAATTGAGTGAAGTTTGCATTAGATTGCTTGAAAATTGAGGGAGTTTTAGTTTAGGATTGGTGCTGAAATCAATTTCTCGTTGTTTTTTCGCTAAACACAGTGGCGTAGAAATAAAAATGAGGTATCGTTGAGCTCGACATGATGTAAATAATCTACATACCGAGTTCGAACGAAATTGGAGGAAAAAGTTCAATTTATCGATTTTTGATCGGCTTTATCGATTTTTTACGTTAAGAACCTATCTCTTACATTTTGCAATCTATGTGCCAAGTTTGTTCAAAATCGGTTGAACGGATCTTAGTGAAAAGGTATCACACAGACATCATCTGTTGTATAAATACATATATATATATATATATATATATATATATATATAGAGAGAGA